AAAGAAAGGCAATGCCAAAGAACGCTCAAACTACCACACAATTGCACCCATCTCACACACTAGTAAAGTAATGCTTAAAATTCTCCAAGACAGGCTTCAGCAATTCATGAACTGTGAACTTGCAGATGTTCAAGCTGATTTTAGAAAAGCAGAGAACCAGAGATCAAATTGCCAACATCCACTGGATCATCGAAAAAGCAAGAGAGTTCCAGAAAAACATCTATTTCTGCTTTATTGACTATGCCAAAGCATTTGACTGTGTGGATCACAATAAACTGTGGAAAATTCTTAAAGAGATGGGAATACCAGACCAGCTGACCTGCCTCTTGAGAAATCTGTATGCAGGTCAGGAAGCAACAGTTAGAACTGGACATGGAAGAAGAGACTGGTTCCAAAAAGTAAAAGGAGTATGTCAAGTCTATATATTGTCACTCTAGGCTCTGCTGGGTAAATAATAAGCCATATAAGATGACAGCCCTAGTATGCTCTAGTATGACTTTACAAAGGCATACAAAGACTTTACAAATTTTGCTTTATTTCCAAATTTGGGATAATTTTTCTTAAAAGTTTAAATTTGATGGTGCTGGAGAAAACTCTTAAGTTCCTTGGATGCAAAGAGATCAAACTAGTCAATCCTAAAGGAAATCAACAGTGAATATTCATTGGAAGGACTGATGCTGAAGCTGAAGTTCCAATACTTTGGCCACTTGATGTGAAGAGCCAACTTATTAAAAAAGACCCTGATGCTGGGAAAGATTGAGGGCAGGAGAAGAGGGTGACTGAGGATGAAATGGTTGAATGGCATCACCAACTCAATGGACATGAGTTTGAGCAAACTCTAGGAAATAGTGAACGACAGGGAAGTCTGGTGTGCTGCAGTCCACGGGGTCCCAAAGAGTCAGACATGACTTAGTGACTTAAAAACAACAGAGGCAATAGGAATACACATGCCAGGTTGCCAAAGTTCACTTAATACAGTAGAATTCTACTTATGTTAGTTTCAGAGTATGAACTGAATATCTATTACATTCTAGAGCTGAATAGAAAGGAAAACAAGATCAAATTAGCCTTGTCCTTTACATCTTCCTGACCATTTTGGCCCTACTTACACTAAATATAAATTGGGAATACCATTTATTTCATTTGGCAATTGATCTTCAAAATATGGTCTTGGAGTCCAAATATATTTTTAACATTTAAAAAAATTATTGAAGATCCTAAAGAGTGCTTCCTGTTTTGTCTATCAGTATTTAATATTATTAGAATTAAACTAAGAAATTTAGAAAATATTTATTAACTCATTTAAAATAATAATATTCACTACTTAATATAAACAACAAAATTTTTGTGAAAAGGAGCTACATATTCCAAAACCCCACAAAGGTTTGGATTTGATTCAGGGGGAGCCAGTTAAAGTTTTCCACAGAGACTTTGGTGCTTCTGCAACTTCTGATTAGATGAGATTTGATAACATGGTGGTCCAAGATGGGCCTAGGAGTGATCATATACATTTTGGTATTCATATAGCCTGATTTACTACACTGATTAAATTTTTATTTTTACTTTATTTTTTAAAAAAATATTTATTTGGCTGTGCCGGCTCTTATCAGTAGCCTACATGATCTTCAGTTGTAGCAAGTGGGATCTAGTTATCTAACAAGGGCTTTAACATGGGCCCCCTGAATTGGTAGTGCAGAATCTTAGGCACTAGACCACCAGAGAAGTCCCTCATTAAATTAAAAAAATTTTTTTAAATTCTCTTGGGGACTTCCCCTGTAGTCCTGTGATTAAGGCTCCACCTTCCAATTCAGAGGGTGCAGGTTCAATCCCTGCTCAGGGAACTAGGATCCCACATGCCACAGGAAATGTCCCAAAAGTTAAAAAAAATAAAAAAGAAAGTGTTCTCTGATCCATCGGTCTTGTGTAATCAATTAAGAGTAGGTATACATTGATCGTGAACATTATTTAAACAGTTTCTTGCTGTTTTAACTGGGCTTTTTATCACAGTAAAATCACTATAATGTAAGCTCCTTGAGGGCAGGGCTTTTGATTCTGTTGTGTGTTTTAGTCACTGCTAAATCTCCTTCCCAGGACAGTACACATGTAAATATTTTGTAAATATTTGTGGAACGAATGAGTGAACAAAATGAATGTGATATTTCTAGGACTGTACTTCCTTCTGGATAGTACGGATGGTTTCATTCAAAATTATTTATCTTAAATTTTTCTTTTTTGTAATTTCCAAATGTGATTATGCAGAGTATCTACTTTTAAAAAGGTTGGGGGAGGGACTCTAAATACACCTTTGTGGTAAGAGTCATAAGTGCTTGAGAATTCTTTTCAAAGATGTACAGTTTACATTTACTGATAGTTTTTAAAAATTCTGAGAACCATGCATGTAATAAGCTAGCAAAAATGTTTTCAATAAATTCTCAGTTTTGACCCCTATCTCTGTTTTCCAGCTAACTAGAAGCATCTGTGATTTTTGAGATCTCTTTACATATTCTAGATACAAGTCCTTTGTTGGATACGTGGTTTGCAAATATTTTTGGCCAATCTGTAGTTTGTTTTTTCATTCTCTTTACAAGGTTTTTTGCAGAGCAAAATTTTTTACCTTTGATGAGGTCCAATTTATGTTTGTCTTTTCATGAACTATACCTTTGTGTCAAGTCTATGAACTCCTTGCTTAAGTTCTGAAAATTTTCTACGTATCTCTAAAATTTTAAAGTTTCACTTTTACATTTAAATTCACATTCCACTTTGAGTTAATTTTAGTGTAACAAGACTTCCTTTTTCTAAGCTTATGGATGCCTTTTAAAAGCCTCGTATCAATAATTAAATATGGACTGGATAATTTCCTATGATAGGGTTTGTATATAAGATCTCTTGTTTGGTTGTAGCATGAGAAACAGTAAAAGTACCTTCATATTGCATAATTTCAGAAGATTCACCAGTACCTGTAATCAACAGAACACTAAAGTTAAAAGCCCGACTTCCTAGAGGCATAGTCAACCAGGTGATTCAGGATAAAAGAAAAATGTATTTAAATGAAGTGACCATACAATAGGACTAGAAAAAATTTTTATTTTGCCAAAATTGCCTAGACAATTTAACAAAAGGTCAACCAATTGGAACCGGGGAAAACCAAAGAAGAAGGAAGAAACAAAAGAAGAACAAAAAAAAAACCACAAGGATTAACCTCAGAACACATCTCCTATCTTGCTCTCGGTGTTACTAACACGCCAATGGCTGCATTGCCCATTTTTATTTGGCACGTTTGTCCAGGGGTCAGTAAACTGCAGCCCACAGTCTAAGCATGGCTTGCTGCCTGTTTTTACAAAGTTTTGCTGGAACACAACCCTGTCCCTTTGCTGACTCACTCATAACCTGCCTGCTTTTGCACCACAGTGGTAGAGGTGATCAGCTGTGACAGACTGCATGACCCGCAGTCTGAAGTACTTAATTCTCAGGCCCTTTACAGAAAAATTTTTGTTATTCTTATTCTCATCTGACAAATGCTGATAGTTATGTGAAAAGCACCCTGGTGTGAAATATTTCTAAGGTGTGATATCAACTGTTTGGAACAAAATAACAAAGAGGCAGCAGCATGGATTTATAAGGAATCTACCTTGAGGGGGTAAATGGTTTTCTGTTTGAAGCTGAAATTCCTCCTAACACAACTCTAAGCATTGTCCCTGAGCCTGTGCTCAGATATCAGTTTGTGTTCCTGAACGTCAAAGATGAAGATGTTTATAAGCAAGTGTCTATGTTATTAATATCTGGTAATAGAAATCCCACAAAGTTGAGAAAATATTTTGGTATGAAAGCAAAAAAAACATATTTATGATCAAAATAAGTCATTTTAAGACCCTTGTCCAAAGAATTTACATTACATATCTCAGAAAAGTATAAACACATTTCAAATTTACGCTCTGGCCTCAACAGGACACTAGCCAGAACTTTAGCCGAGCACCGTGCCTGGCGCACACTGTCTTCTTGTCCCTGTATCTGAGGTTGCTGACAACACGAGGTGGGCACGTGATGGCACCAATCATTAGGCTGTGGTATGTCATCCCTAGAAGGACTGATGCTGAAGCTGAAGCTCCAGTACTTTGGCCACCTGATTCAAAGAACTCACTCATTAGAAAGACCCTGATGCTGGGAAAGATTGAAGGAGGGGAAGGGGACGACAGAGGATGGCATCACTGACTCAATGGATGAGTTTGAGCAAGCTCCAGGAGATGGTGAAGGCCAGAAAAGCCTGGCGTGCTGCAGTCCATGGGGTCGCAGAGTCAGACACGACTGAGCAACTGAACAGCAACCACAAGCTCTGCACCCAGCCTTTCAGACTCCGTGATGACAGAACTCTGCAGACCTCCCATCTGCTTTGCCAGCTGGCTGCTTGTGCCAATAGGATGTGTACGGGGGACACCGCAAGTCAGGGTGACAGAGGAGGGACTCGCTGTTTCTTCCAGTGGTGACCCAGCTTCGGCCCTTCACTGGCAGTGGCAGCTGGTTCCAGTCTCCAGCTTCATTTTAGAAGTTACTGAATGCACTTGCGGGGTTCCCTGTGTGAGCCCGTCCCCAACACCTACTCTAGAAAGCTTCTAGAGAGCCCTGACCTCCTTTGTAAAGTTCAGTCCCCAAACAGTTTCTGGGACACAGAGATGCTGAAGAACCTGGGGGCGACTGTCACTCACAAGGTTATCCAGGGCTCTGACACCATTCTTGTGTGCTGCAGGGACAGGCCGCCTTGGTCGCTTTCTCCTGCAGAAGCGGGTGGGCGGTAGGGAAGCGGGAAGCTACTAACCGCCCTCCTCTACCTTACTTTCCCACTTCCTCCATCCCCAGGGTGGATGGCGCGTGGGGGGATGGCGCGCGCGGGGGGGATGGCTCTCGTGGGGCTGCGCTTGCTGCTGTTGTTCTTGGTCGGGGACTCGGCAGGTAATGGTCACTAGTGGGCTTGGCAGCCAAGGTAAGTGGAAGAGTTACCTGGGGGGTTGGGGGGGGAGGGGGTATCATCGCTTCTCGGTCTCTTGACTGGGATCAAATGTAGAGGGGGCTCTCGCCAACGACTGCCCCTCCACGCACCCGTTACTGGCGGTTCCAGGCCCGCCCCGCGATTGTCTAAGGACACGAACTCGGGGGTGTGCGCGGGTGGCATGTTGGAGCCACAGTGTTGTTGCTTGGGCTTTTCTACTGACCCTGCTGCCTGCGCTTTCTCCCTTAAAAAGCAGATTTTCTGGAGTCCAGGATCAGGGGTCGGGTTTTTCTGTACCCGGGGCCCTACAGAACCTTGGCAGGAAATGTACAGGAATCAGGAATTGTGAGTGCCAAGTGTGCCAGGCACTCTGGGGCTCATGAGAAGAGGGCCTCGGGCCAGCCAGACTTGACACCCACTTTAAAATGAAGTTAAAATGGTAACATCTAGTGGTAAGCTTAGTATTTATTATTCTGAGCAACAAAGGAAAAGAATATTGTGAATTTTTGAGTTATTTCTCTGACTTTTGGGTTCTTTTAGCCAGGAAAGTTGATTTTTTATTTCTTAAATACTGTGAAGGATGAGAGGGGAAATGGTCCCCTGATGATGGAGGGCCATGGAGCAAAGAGCAAGGGATCCTGAGGCATTAGGGAAGCCCGGGGCGGGGGGCAGTAGTCAGGGTCCTTCCTGCAGTCACTTTTGTGGATTAGCCGGTGCTCACATCTCTTGGCTGGCAATACCTCTGAGGTAGGTGTCAGTCAGTACAGGCTGTGGGTTCATCTTCCGCTGGCTCTGAATGTCCTGCCGGATACAGGGACCCATTCTGCGGGGACTGAAGCTGCACTGAGTTCTGTCGCAGCTGAAGCTCCATCCTGTTCCTCTCGGAAGCCCCCCCTCAAGGAACAGTAGGTGGGCCGCGAGACATGGCCTCTTCTGTTGTTGCTCCAAGGGTTGGGTAAGCATTCTCCCACTGAGGTTCAGGGGAGGTTCTCTCTGATCTCTAAGCTTCCACTGGCTCCTCAGGAAGCAGCTGGTGAGGGTGAGGGGAGAGGATCACCAACCCTGTGCATGTATGTATCTGAGGAAGGCGTGAGGGCCTCTTCTCTGACTTTTGTTATGTAGCTCCAAAGCCATCTCTCAAGCAGACCTGTTAGAGTGGTCAGTTATAGAACTGTACCAAACGTTTTCTGTGAGCCTGCTAAGAGAGGTGCCAGAATACAGCTGAATATACCTTCTAGAAGTTCTTCAAAAGCTGGACATGGGAGAGAAAGGGAGAAGGTGCAGCTTGTATAAATTACAAGCTGGATTTAAAAAACCCCTTATAAAAAAATAAAAAATAAAAAACCCCTTATGATGAGTTGACCTTAATCATATCCTTTTAAATGTCCGTTTTCTTCTTGCAGCCTCTTTGAATGCTCAATTTAGTCAATATTCAGAACATAGAACAGTAAGTAAGAAACCACTTCTACTGTTTCGACTAATACAATGAAGCCCACAAAGGTTGGGGTTGGAGACTGGTTTTCAGGTCTGACCTGCCACTTTGGAAACAGTTGGCTGAATCTTTAGAAACCAGATTATCAGGCAGGCTTTTTGATAACTGTAAATTTTGGTTGAAAAAGGCTCAGTCCTTGGGACCTCCCTGGTGGTCTAGTATCTAAGACTTAGAGCTCCCAATGCAGGGGGCCAGGGTTTGATTCCTCATCAGGGAAATGCATGCCGTAACTAAGAGGTTGCATGCCACAAACTAAAGATCCCACAAGCTGCAACCTGGCACAACCAAATAAATAAATAATTTTTAAAAAGAAAGGAAACAGCTCAGACCTTGGGAGCCTCAGGGCTTTGTTTCCTTTGATGATTCAGAAGGTTCTGGGCCTAATAATTATACATTGTATTAGACATTTTATGTATATTAACAAATTAGATTGTGTGAAAGTAAAGGAAGACCAACTGAATAAGAACAAGAAAAAGGAGTTATTCAACATGCACCCCAGTGTTCATTGCAGCACTATATACAATAGCTAAGACATGGAAGCAATCTAAATGTCCATTGACAGATGAATGAAAAAATAAGATCACACACACACACAGAGGCATATTGCTCAGCCATAAAAAAGAATAAAATAATGCCATTTGCAGCAATATGGATAGACATAGAGATTATCATATTAAGTGAAGTAAGTCAGAGAAAAACAAATATCATGTGATATCATTTAAATGTGAATCCAAACTATGACACAAATTAACCTATCTGTGAAACAGAAACAGACTCAGATACGGAGAAGAGATTTGTGGTTGCTAAGTGGGTGGGGGAGGGAAGGATAAATTAGGAGCTTGGGGTTAACATATACACACTACTATATATGTAACAGATAAACAGAAGGACCTGCTGTATAGCATGGGGAGCTGTATTCAGTGTCTACTAGTGACCTATAATAGAAAAGAATCTAGAAGAGAATCACTTTGCTGTACACTGAAACATAACATTGTAAATAACTATACATCAGTTATCTTAAGAAGTTAATCAAAAAAAGAGCTAGTTATTCAGAGCTTGATGTAGCAAGTGAGTCAGTCATGTCACTTGTGTTTTAGCTGAGTCTCAAAGGCAGAGGAGTGGGAAAGCTTTATAATGGGAAAGAGGGAAGGTATTAGGTGTGCCCCGAATGAGGCTGTTGGCATGGGGAAGCTGGAAGTGGGAAACTAAAGGCAGTCATAGTATGTGAATGGTTCAGAGGGCATATTTGGCTTTCTCTAATTGGGCCTAAGTTGGAAGCAGGGGTAAAATTTGGGGAAAATATCAGCTGTTAATCAAGTCTTGGCCCTTTGGGGCCAACTGTTACATAGTGCACTGCTTGACTACCTGGGTGTCACCAGAGATAGCTGTCTGATTTCTTACAAGTCTGTTTCACAGCAGGTCAGCTTCCTGGACTGGTTATTCTCAATAATGGGCTGGTTTCCTGGCTAGCTTGCTGAGGTTTGGAGCCATAGTTCTGTTTTAATATCTGGTCTGACACTGTCCATTTTTCCATGCAATCTCTGTTCTCACAATGACCTTGTAAAATAAATAGAGATGATTATTTTACATACGTGGATATTGACCTCAGTGGGTAAGGTAACTTTGAGTATTCATGTCAGTGCAGACCTTTTCCAGGAAACTTCCCACCCTGTTTTCTTCCTCTAAAGTAGACATAAATGCACTTTCTCTTTGTTCCCATTCACACTATACGGCATCATCATCATTACCATACTAGTGTAGGGGAGGAAAAAAATCTTCCCTCTACCCTTCTAAGTTCTCAGCTGGGGCCTATACAACAAAGGAGAAATTAACCAGAGAAAAATAAACAAATGTTTATTAACAAGTGTATTGTGCATACACATGGGAGTACTCAGAAATGAGTAACTCAAAGAGGTGGCTTAGAAATCTGCCTTATCTTGCATACTTAACAAAAAACAATAAATTTGTGAAAGATACACCCAACTGAATGCAGAGTTCTAGAGAATAGCCAGAAGAGATAAGAAGGCCTTCTTAAAATGAGCAATCCAAAGAAATAAAGGGAAAAAAAAGAATAGGTAAGACTAGAGATTTCTTCAAGAAAACTGGAGCTATCAAGGAAATATTTCATGCAAGGATGGGGATGATAAAGGACAGAAATGGTAAGGACCTAACAAGCATAGGAGATTAAGAAAAGGTAGCAAGAATACACAGAAGAACTATACCAAAAAAAATCTTAATGACCCAGATAACCACAATGGTGTGGTCACCCACTTAGAGCCAGACTGGAGTGTGAGTGAGGTCAAGTGGGCCTTTGGAAGCACTACTATGAACAAAGCTAGTGGAGGTGATGGAATTCCAGCTGTCCTAAACTATGATGCTGTTAAAGTGCTGCACTCAATAGGTCAGCAAATTTGGAATACCCAGTCTTGGCCACAGTGTTTCCACAGGACTGGTAAAGGTCAGTTTTAACTCCAATCCCAAAGAAGGGCAATACCAAAGAATATTCCAACTACTGTACAATTGTCCTCATTTCAGATACTAACTAACAAGGTAATGCTCAAAATCCTTCAAGATTGGCTTCAGCAATACATGAACCAAGAACTTCCAGATGTACAAGTTGGGCTTAGAAAAGGTAGAGGAACCGGAGTTCAAATTGCCAACATTCGTTGGCTCATGGAGGAAGCAAGGGGGTTCCAGAAAACTTCTGCCTCACTGACTACACTAAAGCCTTTGACTGTGTGGATCACAACAAACCAAGGAAAATTCTTAAAGAGATGGGAGTTCCAGACCACCTTACCTATCTCCTGAGAAACCTGTATATGGGTCAAGAAGCAACAGTTAGAACTGGAAATGGAACAACTGACTGGTTCCAAATTGGGAAAGGAGTACGTAAAGGCTATATATTGTTACCCTGCTAATTTAACTTATATGCAGTGTATATCATGTGGAATGGTGGGCTGGATGACTCACAAACTGTAATCAAGATTGCTGGGAAAATATCAGCAACCTCAGATATGAGATGATACCACTCCAATGTGAAGAGGAACTAAAGAGCCTTTTGATGAGGGTGAAAGAGGAAAGTAAAAAAGCTAGCTTAAAACTCAACATTCAAAAAACTAAGATCATGGCATCTGGCCCCAGCTCTTCATGAAAAATAGAAGGGGGGAAAGTAGAAGCAGTGACAGATTTTATTTTCTTGGGCTCCAAAATCACTGTGGCCGGGGACTGCAGCCATGAAATCAAAAGATGCTTGTTCCTCGGAAGGAAGGCTATGACAAACCTAGCCAGCGTGTTAAAAGCGGAGGCATAACTTTGCTGACAAAGGTCCATATAGTCAAACCTATGGTTTTTCCAGTAGTCATGGACAGATGTGAGAGTCAGATCATAAAGAAAGCTGAGTGCCAAAGAATTGATGCTTTCAAATTGTGGTGCTGGAGAAGACTCTTGAGAGACCCTTAGACAGCAAGGAGATCAAACCAGTAAATCCTAAAGGAAATCAACTCTGAATATTCATTGGAAGGACTGTTGCTAAACCTGAAGTTCCAATATTTTGGCCACCTGATACAAACAGCTGACTTATTGCAAAAGACCTTGATGTTGGGAAAGATTGAAGGCAAAAGGAGAAGTAAGCAGCAGAGGATGAGATGGTTAGATAGCATCTTCGACTCAGTGGACATGAATTTAAGCAAGCTCTGGGAGACAGTGAAGGACAGAGGAGACTGGCATACTATATAGTCCATGAGGTTGCAAAGAGTTGGACATAACTTAGGGACTGAATAACAACAATGTTTGTAGATAAATGACAGGACAAAGGAAAATAGTTTTAGGCTTTCAAGGGTGGCAAACAGTAGGAAGATAAATAATGGGAGGAAACTAATGGAATAAAATTTGTTTGCAGGTTCCTTAGGTGCCATTTCTGGGCTGATAAGAAACCAGAGTCATTTCCAGTAAATGAGAATTTATATTCTGCCTTTAGGCAGGAAAGGGGAAGTCAAAACTGCATGTTGACTGCCTTTAGCTCTAAGTGATGTTTATGTCAAGGAGCCATATTTTGGGGTGACATAGCCCGGGTTGCTTTAACAGTAAAGGATACCAGTCAGTGTCCTAAATTCTTTATATAGAATCACTCACTTAATCTTTTACAGCACTAGCAGTGGGTACCATTATTATCTCTCTGGCCAAGGTCACATGGAAATGGTGCAACTGTAGTTCCAACCTCGGCATCTGACTCCAGATCCAGTGCTTTTAATTACCCCATCATAGCAATGAATTGTAATTGTCTGTCTCCCCCCAGTAAACTGTATATTTTGTGATGTCTTATTGTTTGGTGCCCAATTTTCAGCACTTAATGGGTACCCAATAATATTTTTGCTCAGGTGACTCAGTTTTTCTTGGGTTTGAATTTCTTTCAGAAAATGGGGATAGTAACAGTGAAAATTCACTCTCCCATCCTCCATTTAAGCCACTTACCAATGCCCCTCTCCTTTCTCTCTGAATAATTTCCACAGGAGACCAATCACTGACTGGTTGTAGATTACTATCTTGTATGACTCCTCTCTTACAAAGCGGACTATTTCCCATCAGTGTAGTTATATTTTCACCAAGACTCAAGTGGCTGTGTTCTCAAGCCTATTATGAGAGTTTCCAGTCTTATTTTAATTAAAGTGTAAAGACAGTATAAACATGATTATAAAGAAATAAAGCCATTTATATGAGAACTGTGTCAAATACTTTTGAGACTTGCTAAAAGACAAATTGTAAGACAAAATAATTGCTCTTGAATTAGGTGTAGGTAAAACAATAGTAAGTAATCGGGGAATTGTTTTTTAATTGTACACTGCCTTGTTGTAACCATGTCTCTACATTCTTGCCATATTTAAAAGTGGGTAGTCTTACCCCTGGGACATGTAGATTGTCACTTTGATTGTCCTCACCAGGGAGTTGTTGCTGGCATC